TCCAGCTGAGTGACACATCTGTGGAGAGCCTGCTAAGTTCTGCATCCTTGACTCTTAAAGAACTGCAGATACCACGACAGAAACTCCTACCAGGCACCTTGCAGCTGATAAAACACAGCAGCTATGGGAGGATCTACAGAGCACAACTGGAAACTGGGATCCCTGGGAAGACTAAGACTGTAGTATTGAAAGCCTTGCAAGGTAAGGTGCATGGTCAGCATCCACTTTGGTATAGATTTCTGTATCACAGACATGATACTAAGCAGAACTTTGCTGTCATTACTGGGCAAGAGCAAGCTATGTTCAGCATCATGTTAGCTAGTTAGAGTGGTGTTTTTGTAGGACTGTCTTGGTAGGATTAAAAATTGCAGACTGTGTTGATTTTAAGCTACTCACCCTGTTCTTTGCTGCTTCCATTTGTTGAGGGTTTTTTTGTTTGGTTGGTTCTGTTTTTGTTTGGGTTTTTTGTGGGTTTTGTTTGTTTGTTGTGGTTTTTCATTTGCTTGTTTGTTTGTTTTTGTTCTTTCAGACCTGGCTAGTCCCCAGGAAGTAAAGGACTTCCTGGGAAGGATTAAATTCCATCAGAATCTTGGCCATCATGAGAACCTTGTTGAATTGGTTGGATGCTGTGTAGACCAGATGCCACTTTATATGATTGTGGAAGATGTGTCTCTTGGTGACTTGTTGACATTTCTATGGACATGTCGGAAGGTGAGTGGAAAGAAGTGATGACAGAATAGCTTCTTAAATTCCTTAGGTACATATCTATCCATAGGTCATACTCTGTAAGACATAAATGATTCTTTTCATCTCTCCATGCATTCCTCTGTATCAGTCCATCACCCAGAAGTTCTACACGAGTCTAAACTTGAATAGAATTAGTGGATATCTCAATTGATATTACATAGTTTGGAGAAGCTGACATAGATTAAAAAGATTAAAAGAACAGAGGACATTCAGCATAGTTAAAAATTAAATAATGCACAGGTAGAAAGCAATCTTAGTTTCACATATGATGTGAATGATGTAAACAGTGGTTTCATATCTGACCATTGCTGATGAGGAGTAAAATCTGATAGTATGAAAATATGCAGTCCATTGAAATTGTTAGCTCATGCTAAAAAAGAAACCAAATGTTAGGCATTGTTAAGAAAGACATGGAAACAAAACTCTGCCAGGTTACTATGTAAATCCATCATTCTCCTACATCTGAAACACTAAATACATTCAGATTGCTTTCTGTCTTGTTCTGCAGAAGGTTGAGGTGGTAGAAAAGAAAGGTAGTAAGTGTCATGTTGAAAACAAACAAATGGAGGTGGTTTGTCTTGAAGTAGGGAGTTGTCTAATGAAATTCCTTGCCACAAACTGCTGTGGATGGATACTGAAACTTCTCTTGAGTTCAAGACAAGTTTGGATACATTCATGGAAGATAACCTATCAAAGGTTACTGAACATGTTAAAACCATAACCATCTCAGGATGTCCTGAAATTGAACATAGTTGGGGGCTGTAAAATGGCACAGAAAGAATCTTGTGTCCTTACCTTATTCTCTTTCTTTCACCTGGACATGCACTAGGGTTACTCTTACAGGTGGGGTAATAAGAGAGATGGACTACCAGGTAACCATTCATATGTTATGAATGTGCTTTTCTGCTCATCATTCTAATTTATAACATATCTTACATTCATCCATATGGATTGTCATTCTCCACTGTCATCCTGACAATTTCTGTCTAACCTATGAATTTCTTCTCTACCCTTCAATTTACTCACCAGTTGTTTCTAGTGTACTTGTCTTATTCAAGACACCATCCACCCATCAACATCACCCATCCATGTCCTCTTACATTTCAGTCAGTTTGTGAGAAGTTATGAAATTACCTGGGGGAGCATAAGATTAGATACAACTCATTTTATTAGATGGGAAGGAAACATTCCCCACTATCCTACTACTATGATATTTGTTTGAAGGAAGGCCTGCTATTTTGTCTCTAGGACATAATGGATGCGCATGATATTCCCTATGACCTCACCGAGAGGCAAGTATATGAAGTTGGACAGCAAGTTGCAGCAGCTCTGGTAAGTCTGCTCACAACTGCTGCAATTTTTTCCTTCTTGCTTGGTTGCAACACAAGTCTGCATGGTGACCTAAGTCTTCTTGGCCTAAGCACTGAGAATGTGTAGCTGTTAAAACAGAGCCAAATATGCTTGCATTGTGCTGGTGAGCATATCCCACAGTGTGGAAGACAGGCATGAACTAAGTGAAAATTTATATCAATTAAATTTCGTTTTAAAATGATCATGTTCTCTTTCTTCTCCAATTTTCCAGGCTTACCTTGAAGAACTTTTAAAATTATCATGTTCTCTCTCTTTTCCAATTTTCCAGGCTTACCTTGAAGAAAAGAAGTTGTTCCATGGTGACATTGCTGCCAGGAATGTCCTTCTTCATCACAACTTCACTGCTAAGCTCAGTGGTTTGGGCCTGGCCTATGAAGCTCAGACATATGGTGCCAGCTCAGTCACACGGACGGTGCCAGTCAAGTGGCAGGCACCAGAGAGGCTCATGAAGAAACCCCCTGGCATCAAGGCAGACATGTATGATTCAGGTTTTGGACTAGACGTTCACCTGTCTATCAGAGCTGCCTCTTTCACTCCTTTATGTAGCATTCATATCCCAGAGTACACAGGAAGGCATATCTAGTTTCAGCATAATGCTCCACTTCGTAGCTCATACCTTCTCATATCTGCAGGTCATGCCTAGTTGTTTTTATGTTTCTAAGCTAGCTAGTTAGCTAGAATAAAAATGACATTGATTTGTTTACTTCTCTTGCAGATGGTCTTTTGGAATTCTACTGTATGAAATGATTACTTTAGGTAAGAAGATTTAATGATAATAAAAGAATATGTAAGGAAGCAACAAATTAACAAGACCCAAAATCTCAAATTTCAGAGTTGGGCCGTTCAAATAAGCGCCCTGTTTTTTTCCAGCTTGCAAAGTATTGACAATTCCTTTTAGACTCTCAGTGTGAAAAAATTGGATTTTGTTAGGGAAGGAAAGCAGTCTTGCACAGAAGTTGCTGTCTGCAACCATTGCCATATAGCTGTTCTACTGTTATTCTTTCTGCTCTTCCAGGTGCTCCACCATATCCTGATGTGCCAGCTCCTGACATCTTATCATACCTGCAGAGACAGAACATTATGAAGCAGCCCTCAAGCTGCCAGCAAGCCATGTAAGCCCCTTGCTTGATAGACAATTTAACAGACAATTTAACATCAGATCTGCAGAGCTAAATGGAAGTGAGGCATAGAAAATTAGATCTCATGTAAGATCTCTAAGTCTAGACCATAGGAGTAACCTGTTAGTTGAGGAGACTTGTTCTCATGTCTGCTGTATCTTCTCACTGGACTGTGCTGCATGAAACTTTGGTGGCTGAAATCTTTCTTTCCTTTTTTGAAAATTGGACTTGTGTCTGTTTCCTAGTGTGCCCTTGTTGCTCCACTGCTTCCTTGCAAGGTGCAGGAACTACTCTGGAGTAGTTTTTCTTCTCTAAAGTGTGGTATTTCCACAGGGAAGATCTAAGGCACATTCCCGTGTGAAGACATAATTTCTTTTAATATTCAGAATTTTTCTCTTTCATAATGTTGTTTTCAGAGGATACCAAATGTTAATCAAGGGATACCAAACAAACTGTTTCCCCTTTCCCATAGTCACAGTTGACATCCTGGCAAATGACTGCTTGCCTTTGCCCCCATATGGCTGCAAATTTCTAAGGGTCATTGAAAGAACTTTACATGAAGGAGGAAGAGAGGAGTTCATTGACATTTTAAATATGAGACTTGATTGTAGTAAAACATTTGTGTTGGTGTTTCTCATTCCCAGTGTTTCTCTACTCCATCTTGCAGGTATGGCATCATGAAGTCCTGCTGGCAATGGAATGCAAATAACCGACCTTCTCCAGCACAACTGATCAGCTCCCTAAAAACAGCTACAAAGACCAGCAATGGCCATACAGTACTGCAGGTGCCTGAGCCAGTGGTGCCTGAACTCTATGCTAAAGTTGCTGGTGTTGATGTGCACAGTCTGGTGAGGGAATACACTGTCCTCTGAAGGACCCTTTCATATATTGGTAAGGACAAGTCTCCGAGTTTTCCTTTTCTAAATACTTCGCAAGCTCAGAATGAGGTGTCTATGTTGGAAGAGATCCCTTTGTTTTTCAAGCATGTTTATATATCAGATCTCTTCTCCATGCAAGACACAACAAACTGTTATTATTATTATTATTATTAAATCAGCCTGTTGATGTCATCTGCCAGTGGTCATCTGGGGGCAAAATGTTTAGGAAGCTGTAGAAAATGCAATGAGAAACTTGAGTTAAAGGAGTGTATTGGGTTTGTGTGGCAAAGTTTAGGGTATGGGGTGGAGTACAGGGGTGACATGTATAAGAAGATGCCAGAAGCTCCCCCTGTGTCTGATAGAACTGGTTCCAGTCAGCTCCACAATGGACCTGCTGCTGGCCAGGGCTGAGCTCATCAGCAACACTGGTAGCACTTCTGTGATTACATATTTAAGAAAGGGTAAAAAATACTGCACAACAGTAACCAAAAGAGAGGAGTGAGAATGTGAGAGAAACAGCCCTGCAGACGCCAAGGTCAGTGCACAAGGAGGAGGAGGATGTATTCCAGGCACCAGAGCAGAGATTCCCCTGCAGCCTGTGGTGCAGCCTGTGGAGAGGCAGCTGTGCCCCTGCAGCCCATGGGAGTCCACAGGGAAGCAGAGGTCCACCTGCAGGCCATGGAGGACCCTATGCTGGAGCAGCTGGATGCCCAAAGGAGGCTGTGACGCCATGGGAAGCCCATGGAGGAACAGGTTCCTGGCAGGACCTGTGGAGAGAGGAGCCCAGGTTGAAGGACTGCACTGAAGGACGGAAAGTGTGTGAAGAGCCCTCCCCAAGAGGAGGAAGGAGTGTGAGGAACTGACCACAGCCCCCATTCGTGGTCCCCCTGCTGGACAGGAGGAGGTAGAGAATATCAGAAGTGAATTGAGCCTGGGTACTGTGTTCAAACAAACAACAACAAAAAATCCAAAAAAAAACCCCTTCATATCTGTAGATGCAGAAGTTGTTACATAAACATCATACATCTTCATGTATCTCTCACATAGTGGCTGTGGGGTCAAGTGTGTATTATCCCACGCTTATCTCAGGAAAAGCTCCTTCCAGACCTGAGTTTCTCAGGAGTGGTTCTTAACCAATTTGAGCAGAACAGGACATTTTTCAGTGCATGTCTCTTTTGAGTTGCTAATTCCTGGGTTAATTATTTTGGTTCTGTCCATGGTTCTACAGCTACTCTGAAAACAGTATGCAAATGCAAGGAGCACACCAAATAAGAAAGGTTGATGTACAGTAAAAACAACACATGATAAGAATAAACATAGTGACAATGTTGTGTGATTGATGAGAACGGTGAGGATATACCATAGCCTGTTGTTATCTCTGTGGTGACACCTTTGCTGTATGATCTGTGTTGAGGATCTAGGTATTGACTAATTTCAATTACTGGGGTTGTTGCACTGGAGAGTTATGTGAGTGCACATGGTTTGTGTTCAGGTTATGGGCAGGCTCTGGCTGTGCAAGTGCTATTGCAGAAAAGACAATTGTGCCTGTGGTAAGACTTGCCCTAGAACAGGTGAGGGGTTGAAGTCCCAGTGGAAATATCTGTATGTCTTCAGTGTCTGCCTGGAAGGGGGGCATGTCTCTTCAATTAAAAAAGAGGGGGTTTTGCTTCTTCAGTATTTATAATATAAGCTGCACAAAGCTTATCTGAAAATACCTGATCATTGATGTTAGTGAACATGCAAACTTAGAGGCACTTGAAGTTGTGAACAATTTTCCTTCATTTCAAAAGAAGCAGAATCAGTCTGTAAAAGAATTTTCTCTTCTCACTTCTACTGCTTGTGGTTTCTAAGTGGACAGTGCCTTAAAGTGTTTTTTTTCTCTCATTCATTTGGCACTTTGAGCATTAAAGGTTCTTGTTAAAAGAAAAGACTGAATGCACATTAAAGGAATAGTTTTACCATTCTGTGTGAAGACTGGATTCAATGTTCACCCAGTGTCCCTCCAATTAGCGTGGCTCTTGTACGTGTTTGAAGCTGAAGGGCACAGCGACCCACAAAAGGCTGCTTGCAGTTGGTTATATTCATTACGTTTCAGTCTTTCCTGTGGTTGAATCCCTGATCATTTCAGAAGCAGTTGCAGGCCTGCAGCATCCTGTGAGGCCAAAATTAGGTGTCTTAGCTGTGTAGGATGTAAGGCTGGAAATCGGTGTTGTGAGAAAAGCGCTTTAATATCTAAAGGGATGGCTGAAGACATTCTCATTCAAACAAGTATAGCTGTAAAAAGGAGCTTAGATTCTAGTTCCCATTAAAATTTATTGGTCTTCTTCCAAAGACAATGTTAAGAAGTTTTCTATTTTGAATGCAAAATAATATGAATGAAATGTAAGGTTTTTCTATATCACTTAGGCTTTTTAAGAAACTATATGTAATAAATAAATGTGAGTTCATACAGCAGATATATCAGCACTATATACTGGGACATTGCAAACTCCATTAAAGAGAGCTGAGTCAGCTTTCTGACTTTTCTCATGGTGTTGGTTAATTGCCACCTCAATGTCCATAAGCCACTGTTGGTATAACTCTGACTTGAAGAACTGAAACATCTTTTCAAAATGCTGAAATAATAACATGCTCTCTCTTTCTCCCTCACTTGAAAACAGGTTCAAAGCTACCTGGTAAATTTAGGTCAAACTCACACTTATCAGTTAGCTGATACTATTTTTTTTTTTTGGTGAATAAACTATTCATTAAAATAAAAGCACATTTGATTGGTTCAAGCCTCCCACTGAAGAATGGGATATTCTCAAAAGTCTTGCCAGAGAGAGGTGGGTGTGTTTCAGACAGGTAATACAATCCCAGGACTGTGAACAGCATCCACAGTGCTGCTGCAGACCTGATGAATAATTCACAGTGGTTCATAGGGAGCCTTGCTAAACAGAGAGCTAGAGGAAACAATGACACACTGTTCTCAGAGCACAGAAAGCAATGTTCTGGTTTACACAAATGCTCATATTTTGTTTCTGTTGTCAAAGCTCTGATCAAGGAAATCTGTGGGAATTCAGGATGCTGAGCACCTCACAGCCTCTAACAAAAGATCTGATTTAGTTTCCTCTGAAAGCAAATCTGTGCCATGACTCTGCCTATGAATTTGACCACAGAAAGACATTTCCCTGCTGTATGATAAGGTCTGATTTGATTTCCCTTCAATAAAGTGGCCTCATCCTCAAAGTAAACATTCTTATTCTGATTTGCCTGTCTTTTCCCCAGATTAGCTTATGTAGGTTTGGGAGTGACTGAATCTAAATCAGATTAAATTTCATCGTGGCATAAGAGGAATTATATATGTGGAGTTACCCCAGTTTAACTATACTTCTTGCTAACTGAAGTAGTCTGTACAGAAATCTTTTCCACATAGCAGTCTCCATTCTTGCACAGGTCTACATTTTTAGGATCATGCATGAATTCCTCCTTAGTGGATCCACTGAGGGCTCAGTGAAAATTTTTCACAGTTGTTTTGTGGAGAATCATGGCTTTTCTATGACAGACTTTGTTTAATCAGAATATTTCAGTCCCATGAAAAGTGTTTACTTTTCATTATTATATTGAAATTTTCTCAAAGATGACAGGGCCATGTGCATAATGCAGTTAGTTTCTGCTGACCTAGTCTGAAGCAGAGGAGCCACAGCTCCTGCACAACTGGCAGAATGGACCCCACGGAGAGGAGGGAAGGTGGCACTTTCCCTGCAGTTGGCTGGACATGTTCAGCTTCCAGGAGGAAGGATGAGACAGACAGAGGTCACACAGTGAGGGGGAGCCCTGAAATCCTCAAAGTGGTCTGCTCTGGGTGCAGACCTCTAGTACAGCCTCATGCCTTCTGGGGGCTGAGGGTGCTTATTGCTAATTTAATGCAGGAATCCCTGAAAAAACATGCAGAACTCGACACAAGAAAAGGTAGCCTGACAAGGTAGAGCATTCTGAGGAGATTTCAGCTCCCAAACCACCCCACACCTACTACCCCCCAGGAAGCAAAATTGGAGTTACTTTTGTTCTCGATGTTACCTTATCCTTGGTTGTTATTTTGTGCTTTTACAAAGCCTGCTTTTATAACAGCATGCTGAACAGTTAAGACAGGGTTTTGTTGCCTTTCGATCAGGCTGAGTTTGTGGGCCTATGGATGGATCAAAAGCAGAACAGAACCATGACACTTCCTCCCCCACCCAGCTGAGGCAGCAGTAAAGGCAATCTGACCTTAGCCTGATGGTCTTTACTCCTGCCAGCATGTTACAACTGCACCTCATTTCTCCTCAAAGGGCCAGATTTACAGCCAGGCTTGTAATGCATGGGCTGGGGGAGTGAGGTTACCATCTCCATACCAAGGCAGGGTACTCTTCTGTGCTTCCCTGAGGCAACATGGGGCTGTGAGGGCTCCACTCACCCCACACAGCATTCAGCTACGAAGCCAAGTGCAAAATAAGCAAATGGCTCAGCTCATGTTCCTGTTCAATCAGCCTCATCAATTCTCCACAGCAAGCCTGGCAATTTTCCACAGACATCAGGCTGCTTTTGGAACAGAAGACCTTTATTCCTTCGGCTATACATAAACACTTGCTCATATTTGTTAACAAAGAGCTTTGTAAGGCAAACCTCTCATCAGAGATAGAGAAAAATCATGTTACTAAGAGTAATACTGAGAAATATGACATACCTGAGGACAAATTCTACACTAATTGTAGCTCCTCTGTCTTGCGAAATACTCACCTTGATTGCCTTTGGATGATTTAAGAATCCTCAGCAGCCAGCACAGCAATCTTCTAGGACATTTTGTGTCTTACACTAAGGAACAAGCAGCAGCTTCAGCCCTGCACTGCACACTGCAAGTCACTCTCCAATCAGAGAACATTTCCATGACCATGCTTACTGCATGGATGCAAAAGGAGTTTATTTTAATGTGTAGTCAGTTCAGAAGCAATTAATAAACACTTTGTTATTGTTAC